TGTTTTGACACAAATATTCAAACAAAAAAAAAACTGTAAAAATCTGCAGTTTCCCTGCAAAAAACCTGCAAAGGAACTGCAAAGAAACTGTAAAGATATTTTTGCAGATCTGCATCAGATCTTTGGTCAAATCTTGGCACATCTGCAATGCAGATCTGCTTCAAATCTGCAGAATCCCTTTGCAGAATCTGCAAAGTTACTGCAAAGATTTTTCCAGATTTATGTTGCAGAAAAATCACCTGGGTTAGTCTTCGTCTGGTTGGTGGTGTTGTTATTGATGTTGATTTTCTTTTATTGTTGTTGTATTTCATTTGATTAATTGATTTACGGATAAGTTTTTGTTTTGCGAACACTTCAACAAAGGGTTGTCGATGTAAAAATGCCACGGTATCTACAATTGAAAACATTGTCGTTTAGCCAGAGTATTTTCCTCCGAAAGTGAAGCGTTACCTAAAAATGTCGAACTCTTAGTCTTTCAGATGAAAACCAGTACCATCTGGACCATAAGCAGCACGGACTATGTTTCGTGCTGTACCCGTGTAAGAATTTTCAGGTTTTGCTATTTGCATATCTCTTCCATTAATTATCTGAACGGAAAAAGAAGGGTGACAACACATTAAGCATCAATTAAGTGTTGTTGTTGCACTAACCATTTCACATTTCTCGTCTTCAACTTTGGAACGTACAGTTGATGCATGTAATTTTGTTGACTTGAAAAAAAAGAAAGAAAAGTCATAAATTATTCCTTTTGAGAGGGAATGACGTACAATTTTTAAAACATTATCCGCTTTTGCGGCACTCTTTTCTAATTGTTTGGGAAGATGGATCAAAGTTTTTGTCATATTGATAAGCTCGTCTATTTTTGCCATTTGTAATTTCATTAATGAATTTGACTCTTGTAGTACGGCTATATATGGAGTTAACACATGTTCGACAGCTAAAATAAGAAAAGAAAAATTTTCAATGCCCTCAAATTTGACGGTTGTGTAGAAGTGGGTTTGTTCTGAAGAATTTCATCACGTACTGTACTTATTCGACAACCACCACGACTTCGTCTTGCTTGAAATGAACTTTGTGAGCCTACTACAGAAGAGCATGATTTAATTGCAAGGTTAAAGTTAGAAACTGTATTTTATGATTACCTGGGCTTACATTTTCACGAACAATTATTTGTTGATGTCGATCGAATTGTGAAAAACTTGGTATTGTTTGCTGACGTCCTTGTTGTTCGTCAGGTTGCGTAAAACTTGACATGCTAACATTCGATTTAGAATCTAAAAATGAACAAACGCGATCGTACCGTTATTTGCGCAATAAAGGAAAACTGACTTCTTAATATATTTTCGTTCATGCCAACGTTAAACTTCGACTGAGGAGCCATTAACGGAACATTTGTCAAAGTTTGGTAGACAGAAGAATTTGTTGTGTATCATTGATGATGCCTATGGACTGTAACAGTTATCATACAAGTTTACTATCGACGGATTAAAATGACGTATCTTTTGATTCTCCGTCATTTAAGGTTTTTATATATAAAATACAGTTCTGAAACTTAAAAAAAGGAACACAAGCTTTTCTGCTTTTGCTTCTTGGATTCTTTCTTCAATTTTTTACATTTTTTTTAAGTTCAACATACTTCTCTTCTAATTCATCCCTATATAACGAAAATAACCTCACGCTTCATAATAACTATTTTCCAATACAAATATGACGAGTAACTCACATTATCAGTAATAAAGCTTAGAAATAACACAACTAACAACCTTTATCCAACTTCAAGAGTCATTACATATAATGAACAACATTTTCGCGCCAATTCAATAACTCAAACACTAACTGGAAATAATATTTCAGTTTTGTGGGAAATTCGGAGTACTCCCTTCATCAACATTAATCCGAAATGCACTTTTGAGTGCATTCGAAATCTTAATAGATTTTTCATAGGGAGTGTTTAACCTATTTTACCATTAGCGCATATCAACAGATAAGTATATTTCTCATTTATTCTGTTCTTTTCCTCACTAAAGTAAAAACAGGAAGAAATTATATGTATACTTTTTAAAGCAGCATAACGTAATCTCTTTAAGATCAAACTGCAATCTGTTTTACTCGGTATTTGTCTTCGAGAACAGATCACAGGAAAATAATCAGGCAAGC